GCAGGTGAACGCCTCTTTTTCATCACATTACTTTTTGTGGGATCTTGTCATGCTTGCTGTAAGTAAACAGTAGCACTTCAAAAGTGTTCACTGGTAGTAAAGCACTTGGGAACATCATATGATCATGAAAGGCACTATATAAATGCAACTCTTTGTGGGGTGTGTGTGTGTGTTTTATATAATATATACACAACACACACTACTTGCACAGATTTTGTTTGTCATGTGTGTGAGAGATGTCTGTAGTTGCAATTAAATGAATTGTTAAGTGAAACTTTTCTAAGATTTGTATTGAGGAATCTTTTGGGTTGCTCTTGCAGGGCAACTGAATGCGTTTTGACAAGACTGCTCCCTTGTCTATTAACCATGTGATCAAGTTGTTCGGCTTGAGAAGAGAAGGCCTTTTGATTAATCAGCTAGTGCTAAGAGGTGGTTCAATGGCAGGTTTGTGCTTCATTCAAAACGAGAGGAGCCTTTTTTGAGCATTTTACTTTTCAGTTAGTGTTTCGTGTGTGTGTGTATATACACACTTTTTATGGATGTCCCGAATGTAAAAATCTTTACAAAGTCCTGTGCTTTTTTAAATTATTTCCTAAAGCGCCAATCTCATATCAGGGCTCTATCATTACTGTTTAAAAAAGGCTTCTTTTGTAATGATTGCTTTCACCCTCTGGCGATGCTTGTCATAGTTTAAGGCTGATAAAATGTCTAATATGCTTGAATGGTTAAACAATCTTTTACTTCTTCATATGCAATGATGATGGTAAGAACAAGCTGCACTCCTGTGTCAGTCCATCCTTCTGAGTCAAGATGAAAACAAAGGATCCTAAAGCACCTTGATTGCACTAGAGAAGAAACATGAAGATGCTGGCCATTTGACATAATCTTTTTTCTTTCTTGTGGTGTTAGAATAGTCAGTGAAAGTACTGATTCTTAATGATTTTCTTAACTTCAGACAGGATACTCGACACTAGCGTGGCTGTGACAGAGCAAACCTGACTCAGCAAGAAGTTTTAGCTAACACTATAAAATGCTAAAGCAAAGCTGAATTTGTTTCCAAAGCAGCAATTCTTCGTTAATTAATTACTGTCCTTTGAAAAGGTGTCTAAAAGGCTTGTACCCTTCTCCTTCCCCACCTCGTCTCTCTGCAGTCGTCATGTTTTTGGGAAGGTGAGGTCTGTTACTCACTTTCTCCTGTGTAAACCTTTTGGAAGTTGAACTACAGGTGTTGGCGCTGAAGGATTGGGAGAGTATATCGTCAGTGTTTGCTTTGATATGGTGGTAGAGTTGGATGAAGGAAAGCAGCAGGAGGTTTGTGTGAAGCATAAACTCCAACACAGCCATGTTGGGCTGAATGGCCTGATAGTGTTGCAAAGATCAATATGATACATCCACCTCAGAGGCTGTGGATTCAAACCTAACTGGCGCTTGTTAACTCATGTGGGACAGAGTTTTGAAACTGCAGCAGCATTTTGAGTGGCTGTTTCAATGTGGCATTAAATTTCCAACTGTTCCAGTTGCTATGGATGGGGATGGCAGACGCTGAAAGAGCCAAGATTTTTCTGGTAAGAATGTGGTGCTGGGAATCCATTCTTAAAAATGCTACAAGCTTTCTATCAGTCAGACAGCATCTCTTGGAGATTACTGAACAACCAGAGTGTTTCCAGCATTTTGTTTTTTTTTATTAGTTCTGTATCCTGACTAATATTCTCCCCTTTGTTGTGGGATCTTGCTGTGCGTGTTTTCTGACACTGCTTTCAGTCACTGTCTGTGAAACACTTTGTTCTACATCCCAGAACCATTGCTGTTCTTTGCAAAGTACCTGTTTATTTGCTGAGTGGAGGTTCATATTAAATCTGATTTCAATTTAAAAAAATTTTTTTTTTTTGGTTATGGAAAGCATTTCCACTATGAGTAAAACTGATACTCTCTTTTGGTTAACCATTGCAAATGTACGTGTTCTGAAGCAACAGAAGTTAGTAAGCTGAACACTTTTTTTTTTTCCTATAAAAAGAGTCACAAACACACCTTAATAACATCCTCTGATTCCATCCCTCCCCGTCTCTGCTGATAAAACCTCATCCATGATTTTGTGATCTCTAGGCTAGGCTATTCCAGCACAATCCTGTCTGGCCTGTTGCATTGCCCATACCAAAGCTCATCCTTGCGTAATAGACCTATTGTTAACTAGCCATTTACTTCACCACAGTTTAAGGAAAATTGCTGTGTCCAAATTAGCCACTCACTGCCTTTCCTGCAAAATATTAATTATGCTTCAGAATTAATTAAGGGGCACAGAAGCAGTTTAGCGAGTCTTGTCTTGTCTTGTAGATGGGAGAAAAGTACTGTTTTAATATGTGCTATTTCCTTTGCGTAAAGGAGTTACAATTTAGTTACCTAAAGCTGTGCTATCCATTTTCTAATTTGCACCGAGCTCCCTTCTCCTACCATATTTGGATTTGTTGACTACATTGAGTCCTGGTTAAACAATTCCTCAACTTTTAAGATTCACATCCTCATTTTTGAATTCCTTCAAGGTTTTGACCTTCTTTTCTTCGTAATGTGTCCTTCTGCAATACTCGGATATCTGTGTGCCTCCATTTCTGGTGTCTTGAGGATCCGCAGTTTTAATCACACCAATATTGGTTGTCCTTCAACAGCCAAGACCCTAAACTCTGGAATTTGCTTATTACACCTTTTCTGTTTCACTGTCTGCTTTCCTCCTATGTAATTCCTTAGCATCTACCTCTCCTTTGCCCTAGTATGCTACTGTTTTTACAAAGTGCCTTGGGACATTTTGCTATATTAAAGGCACTTTATTAATGCAATTTGTTGATGTTGAAATTGGAGCTTGTGATTTGTAAGCAGTTTTTTTAAAATATAAAGCAACTATCCAACTTTCAACTATTTCCCATTAATCTCTCACTGGGGTTTTATCGTGGGTGCAGCTTATGGTTTTGGGTGTTCGAGAGAGTTGTATTCCCTTAGTAAGCACTTCAAAGATCTGCAAGCACATCACATGAATGAAATACTGTGTATTGAATGGTACTTTTTCCCTGTCCACAAGACTTGCTAAACTGCTTCCGTGCCCCAAATAAATTCGGAAGCATATTCCTTGTTTTGTAGGAAGCGTGGTGACCATTTTGAACAGAGTAAGATTTCATAAACAGCAGGGAAGTAAATAACCAGTCAATTTTGATGCATTTGTGAAGAGAGATGCTGACGTGGACACAGCGAAAACATTTCTGTCTTACTAAAAATTGCCATAGGACTTTGTTTTACAAGCACCTTAATTGCAGGGCCTCTTTGAGATTTCATGCGAAACAAAGCGCACCAACAATGCAGCACTCCCTCAACAATAACAACCAAAACTTTCACACATCTAGTGCATTTAATGTTAAAACAGTAGTCTGCTCGTTCTCCACAATGTAGTGATCATCAAGAAACGCGTAAAGGTACAGAGCAGGAAAAGTAGGTAAGCTGGAGATGCTCTAGCTTGGTCAGATCAGTAAGATTGCAACAGATGAGGTCATTGAGTATGACAACAAAAGACATGGACGCATGGTTGACTGGTGTGGTTGGCCGTCTAAAGGCTGTGGGGACATTAGCGTGCTCCACTGAACTATCTGCTACTGTTGTGTGCTTAAGACCTGCAGTAGGCCTGGAACATTTCAGCCAACATGTTTTGAGCAACAACTTACACGAGCTATCTGATTTTAAAGTAACCAATCCCAAACATTGAGGAAAAGCTAAGAACCTTTCCAATGTAATTTTATATAAAACAAGTGGAGCTAACTAAAGAAAGTTTATTGGCTAAGTTGAGCAAATGAGCATTTAATTCTTCATTTGTTAGAACAGAGATACGTAGGGTGTGTTTTTGATTTTTTTTTTGTGAGATCATTTTTCTTCAAAGTGCTTTCTAAAAAGCTGCATATCTCAATACTTCCTAATCTGCAGACAACATCAATATGCATCAACGTATTTACATCCTATTTAACTCCATATTGCCAAACCTTTTCGTCACATTTATTTCAATATTTGAAAGTGTCCATGCCCAACTTTTGAATGGGCAACACTGAGGTAATCGGAGTAATGGTGACAATGGGGAGTGAGTTTTCCTGTGCACCTCCCACACTAACCCTTCCTTCCACCCTCCAATCTATCACTAGCTTAGTGACCATAAAATCGCCTCGCTCTATCCTCCCCAGTCAATTTTGGGCACTTTTAAGAGCAGAGGTTGGCCATTCAGCCCATCGAGAACCCATTCAGAGATGTTATTGTGCACCACTGGAGCAGATGGGACAGAACCCAGGTTTCCAAGCCAAGAGGTAGGGACACTACCACTGTGCCACAAGAGCCCTAGTGAGTGGTGTCGATTATTTATAACCAACCTGTTTAGATGTGTTATGAGTCGGTGGGACTTGAATCCCAGCCTCCTGGCTAAGAAGCAGGGACACTACCACTGCTGCAGAAGAGTCCTTCAGGCCAGAGAATATTTTCCTTTTCTGCTTACACCACGTCAATATCACTTATCAGTTTTTATTTTCAATGCACCTCTGGAGCGGGTGGGACCAGAACCTAGGTCTTCAAGCCCAGAGGCAGGGATACTACCACTGTGCCATAAGACCCCTTTAGCCCATCAAGACTGCTTTGTCATTCATTTAATTCAATGTGCTTAAGCTACAGGTGCAGGGAGCAAAGTTTATTAAACATTTTGTGAGCTTTGGCCAAACAAATTGGTGCCTTTTTGAAGAGGTATCCCTGACCTAAAGTAGTAATTGTGCAATGTAGAGGAAACCAAATGTGGTCGACATTGATGATCTATTCTAATGAAACATGTATTGTATATCTGCAGGTAAATGGTTGACGTGTCTGCCACTCTTCACAACAGCAAGTATCTGGGAATTCCGAGTTGAAGATGGGGCACGCACACAAAAAGACGTTTCAACGCTTTTTCTAACAGCTTTTAAGCATGTTTGTTTTTGGCTTTTATTTTCCAGGTGGTTAAAGTTTGAGGAATTAGAGGTGGAAATGGAACTCCCAAATCATGCCAAACAATTGTTGCTGCAGTTGAACCAACAGAGGAGCAAGGGGTTCTTCTGTGATGTTATCATTGTGGTCGAGAATGCCCTGTTCCGTGCCCACAAGAACATCCTGGCAGCGAGCAGCATGTACTTCAAGTCCCTCGTGCTTCATGACAACTTGATCAACTTGGACACCGATATGGTCAACGCCACCATCTTCCGACAGATCCTGGATTTTATCTACACCGGGAAGCTCCTGGGCACGGACCAGGCCAGCGAGCAGAACGTTAACGCTCTTCTGACAGCAGCTAGCTACCTCCAGCTCCACGACCTGGCTGCCGTGTGTCGGAAGAAGATGAAACGCATCGGTAAGACTTTGCACGGCAAGCTGATGGGCCCCGGCCCCGGGAAACCAGGGAGAGGGCACAGGTTGCCTTCCGCCCCGGTCGTCCAGCCGCGCTACTCTGGTTCACCCGAGGCGCTTCAGAGGCTTCAGGCTGGGGAGCTGCACCGGGTGGAGGTAGCTGGGGATGAATTGTACCTCGCTAGCTCGAACAAAGGAAACCCCCACTCTCACGGCCAGAATGGCGGCACCAGCAAAAGTAGCAATACTAACAATGGCACCAACAGCAACAAAGGGGAGCAGGAGCAGATGCTCGGCCTGGACCTGTCCAAGAAAAGCCCTTCAGTCCCTCCCCACATGTCTCAGGAGGACATGCAGCTCGGAGAGTGCAGCCAAGGTGGCTCTCCCCGCTCTGCCTCTGTTTCTACCACCAACAGTGCCCCCTTCGAAGACAGCGCCACGAACCCTCACAAAGTGGAGAACAGCGAGTGCTCGGAGAGGAATGACCTCGGGTCTGATGCCCAGAGCCTAGCGGACACTGGGCAGCCCAAGAGCTTCCGGCTGGCGGTTCGTGGCAGCAGCTGGCTGAAGCAGGAGAAGATGTATGGCAGGCCCGAGGGCACCAACTGCCGGGACGAGGGCGGCTCGCTCCTGAACGGGGTCATCATGGGGCCCCTGGTGAAGTCGCTGGAGCGGGATTCTGGTCGCCACTTTGAGCACGCCGTGCGCTGCAAAGAGGAGGAGGACGACGAAGAGGAGGAGGAAGGGGAGGAGGAGAATGGCAAAGAGTGCAGCGAGGACAGCGCCCAGAGCGGTGAGGAGGAGGCGGCGGTGGCAGTGTCTGGTGGAGGAGGAGGAGGAGGGGGTCACGGTTACAGGCCGGGCCAGGACGGCTTCGAGCCAGCAGGGTACGGAGACAACCTGTACGTGTGCATCCCCTGCGGCAAGGGCTTCCCCAGTTCGGAACAGCTCAACGCCCACGTCGAGAGCCACACCGAGGAGGAACTGTACCTGAAGGAGGAGGCAGACAGCGGCCTGACTGCCCCGAACCCGCCGTACCCCAGCGACTCGCGGCCCTACAAGTGCTCCGTCTGTGAGAAGAGCTACAGGGACCCATCCACGCTGCGGCAACACGAGAAGACCCATTGGCTGTCCCGGCCCTTCCCGTGCAACATCTGTGGGAAGATGTTCACCCAGCGGGGCACCATGACCCGCCACATGCGCAGCCACTTGGGCCTGAAGCCTTTTGCGTGTGAGGAATGTGGCATGCGGTTCACGCGGCAGTATCGACTGACCGAGCACATGCGGGTCCACTCGGGCGAGAAGCCCTACGAATGTCAAATCTGTGGTGGCAAGTTCACGCAGCAACGCAATCTGATAAGCCACATGAGAATGCATACCTCACCAACATAAGCCAAAGACTCCAACCTCAATTTATATATTTTTGTGTGCGTGTGCGCGTGTGTATGTTTCTTTTTCTCTCCCACTTCTCCAGCCTCCTTTACAACATGTTTTCGATGGGAGAACGAGCAATGGGGTTGGGTGGGTGATTGATCGGGAACGGGGTCTTTAGTTTCCAATAGATGTTTAGGGAAAGAAAAAGAATCCTCGAAGCTTCGAGGCGCTTGTTTTATTAAGAAGTAAGGACCTTTTTGTAATTTTTATGTGAATGTTTAAACTGGAAAGTTGAGGATCTAGCTGGGGTAGCTTGGTGTAGGCTGGACTTGCTGTTATTTCCTTAGGTACATTTTCCTTTTTGTATTTTCTCCCGTGTTTAGCTCCTCTCCCCATGCTGAATAAGTCTGACTGAAGGGACTTATCAGCTTGCTACCTCTTCGCGATAATAATTTATAAGGAAAGAAAACTAAACAAAAGAATTAGTCAAAGAATATTGCAAGGGAAAGGGGGGGGTAGATATCTCTTTAAAAAACATAATAACAATGAATTTAAGATTTAGTATTTCCATTTTGACATTGTCCATCCCAGCTCTTTTTGATTCTATTCAAATATTGGCTGATTTCTATTTTCCCCAAGCCAGACCAGATAAAACTTGTACGTTTTATCTGCCTCGACCAAATTATCTGACAGTGTACAGTGTTTTGAATTTTGAGCCATATACATGTGAAGTCACGACTGCTTCAAAGTCGCTGCAGTCATTCTGGTTAATGGTCAGTTCCATGGTGAGGGTAGGGAAGGGTGTGGGTTGGGGGAAAACAGGCTTGTATTTTCAATAGCTTTTTATTGGTGAGCTGCTGAAGCCAAGAGAAGATGAACAGCATGATGTGGAAAAAGTTAAACTGGTGTTTACATAGGTCTGCTAGCCAGTAAAGGCCTACCCATTATTGTTAGCATGGTACGGAAGTTATAGTGAGGACAGCAAGGTGTGAGGATAATGAGCTTTTTTGTCTCTTAGCTGTACATTCCTGATGAAACCAAATTCACAATTGCTGCATAGAAACAAAGATTATAGTGAATCAGGGCACACAGAGGCAGATTTTGATGGCTTTGATTGGAACAGATTTCCAAAGTAACTTCTTCGGAATAAGTTTACAAAGTATCTGTCAGAACAGCGCCTAAAACGCCCTAATACAAAGATACAGAAAGCTTTTTTAAACAAATATATATATATATAATATATATATAGGGCTGGTTAGGGGTTTTTGTGTTTCTTTTTTTAAGTGATAATTTCACATTTTGACAATTGATTCAGTTCTAACATTGTATGAGTCCTGATGGAAAAATATCTTCTTTTTTGTTAAACCTCTCAAACCAAGTGTAGGTACGGAGGAAGGAGGGGATTCACAGGAAAGGGACCCCCTTCTTAAATGAACCAAGTTGAGTCTTTTTCTTGGCATTTGGGGTGATGGAAAGACTTGGACAGCACATGATCATATTCCAGTTTGTTTTACTGAAGGGGCACTGGGGCAAGTCTAAGTATGGTCTTTCCTTATTTCCCAAGATAATTTTTTTGTTTTTTTTTTGTTTTTAAATATATATATTTAATATATATATATGTTGGGATAAAACGAAGATCTAAACTAAACTAGTGATTACAGCTTAAACAATTGAAAAGAGTGCAGTATCGTTCTCAGCACTTAAAACAAGTACGACATTATGTCTGTGTACAGCGAAGGTATTGTACAGGAGCTTTCCTTTCAAGTAGTTATGTAGAATTGCAGTTGATAGATTTTTATTCAAAGGAAAATTTAAAAAAAAGTTTAAAAAAAAAATAAACTTTCCAAACTGTGACAATAAAAGGTTCATAATTCAGGGATTGTTCAGCACCTGCACAGTGCAGTAATCTCAACTACATTTATATGATGTCGTAATGTATCGAGACATTTTCTGTATTTTAATGAGAAGCAGAACACTAGTTTCATATTTAAGATTTTGATGGGGTGGGGCGGGAGGGGGTACTTTTTTTCAGATACACACAAAGGGCCTCGGATGAGGTTTAGGCAGCTCATGCAAAAAAAGTAAAATATAGGCTGTAGTCATTCGTTCCTGTTGATGTTTTTTTTGGGTTTTTTTTGTGTTCCTTTTTTATTTTGAAAGTTATCAGAGTTGTATAAAAAATAAAGCTCATACCCAAATTCACAAAAAAGAAACTATTTTTAAACCAAAGCACATTTTAATGAGTATAAAAAAGAACCTCATGTGACTCAAATTATGTATTTATCTCATTGTTTACATGTAAACTTTCGACAGTCTCAGACCTCAGCAAAATGCTTCTTTCTGACAAAAAAATGGTGCAAACTTAACACTTTTTTGACAGTGTTCTTTTTATCAATATATGTATGTATTTGCAGTAATGAATGTATTTATTTCTTTTTTTGAATCCTGTACACACTGTTTGCATTTAAGTTTCAGTCCATATGCAAAAAGCTGTATAAGTTGGACCTTTTACAGGAAAAAAAAAATCTCAGAGACTTACCACATAGCCATAAACCGCATAACCTGTGAAGACGTTATTTGCAAAAGACTGGACATTTTTTTTTCTCTCTATTGGCTTTGCATTGAAGATGTAATATGTTTGTTGTATTTAATACAATGTGTTTTTCTCGTCACAATGCACATTCATCCTCGGTTACTGCACGGCAAGCATTCCACATTCTGCCACTGCGTAGCTTGGGGTAACAGTATTTATCTTTTTTTTTGTGTTCTGAAATCGTCACTTTCTCGCGCAAAAAAAAAAGCTTGAATTCAGGTCAGGGCTGCATTATTTGCAGCTCAAAATAGTCATGTGTCATTAAAAAAAAAAGACAAATGTATGCTGATCTCAGCATTCAGAAAATTTACAGTCTTAATGTACAGCAATCAAACTCTTATTTTACAATCTTTTCATTAAAAGCTTGACTGAAAACCATCTATGTCTGTTGTTCTTAACTTTAGCAGCATCACAGATGGAAATGCTGTTAATATGTTTTTGGTGGCAGGCGGAGGTAATGCTGAAATGTTGATCTGTGGGCTTTAAGCACCAATGTTGGATGTGTGCAGACTCTTTGGTAGGCTATTCAAGGTGCCTATAATGGGTGCTTTTGTCTCCTATTTTGCACCATATTCCAGGATCTGTGAATATTTAGGTTCAAGGGGGGTGCCACACAGTTTGTGCTTGTAACTCTACTAATACAAGAAGAGTTCAATCTGTTGCCCATCATCAACCTTATCAATGGAAAAGCCTCAAGGTTCCTCAATTATTGTGAAGGAATTTGCAGTTCTGAAGGAGATTTGTATGCTTTGCCAGGACTTTGCCAGAACCATTCAAATTCATAGCCACTGGATGCATGTTTGACTTCAGTCCAAATTTTCATCCACCTTCCCCCAAAGCATAGAAAGATCTCTGCTTCAGCCCTCTCCTGTTGCAATGGAGAAACAAATATTGCTAAAGAAACTCAGCAGGTCTGGCAGCATATGTGGAGGGAGAAACATCTCCATTCAATATGACTTTTTCATTGAACTCAAAGGGTTGATTCCTGTTTCTGTCTCCACAGTTGCTGCCAGATCCGCTGAGTTTCTCCAGGATTTTCTGTTTTGATTTTAGATTTCCAGCGGTTGCAGTATTTGACTGTACAGTAGAGTTACAAAAACGTTCAACAAGCCAGCAACTTTAAAATGCAATCCACCCAAGTCAAACACTACTGATGACCTTCTGCCATTGACGTCCGAAGCAGCAGAAATGACCTTTCTGTATTCATGTCATTATAACCCTTCCATCATTTAAAGTTCAACTAAAATCTGTGCTTTATCCTCTCTGTCAACACTCTGCATGGCATGGCTTTGCTGAAACTATATACCGGAAGAAACTGATACCTTGGCAATCAATTACACCACTGAAGGAGCCACTTGGCCATTGTGTCTGATAGCTGTCTGCAGAACAACTTGGATAGTTCTACTCCCCTGCAATTTCTTTCTATTCAGGTAATTCTCCAAAACCTTTTTGAAAACCAAGATTGAATCTGCCTCCACTGTGCTGTCAGGTATTGCACTCCAATCCCTCTGCCATCTTGTTTAAATTTCTTTTTGCTCCTATCACCATTGATTCTTTTACTTAAGTCAATTTCTACTAGTTCTCGATCCTTCTGCCCCCAGAATGGTTTCTGCATCCAGACCTCTCATGATTTTGAATACCTCAATCAAATCTCAAAACAGAACATCCCCAGCTGCTCAAAGCTACCCACTAAACAGACATCCCCTCATCCCTGGAACAATTGGAGAATATAATCTTCTGTTATAGCTGTGCGGTCTGTGTTTATAAAACTGTAAGAAATAGGTACAGGAGTAGGCCACGTGGCCCCTCAAGCCTGCTCTGCTATTCAATAGCTTCATCGCTGATCTGGCGTTTCTCTCATCCACTTTTCTGCATTTTTCCTCATAAGCTTGATTTTTCCCTGACTGATCAAGAATCTATCTTTCTCAGATTTAAATATACTCCAGTACTGTTCCCCCCACTGATCTCTGTGGTAAAGAACTCTAATACGAATCAGCCCTCCTGAGAGAAGAAATGCCTCCTCATCTCAGTCTTAAATTCACACCTCTTCATTCCTATTCTTATACTCGTGTATTGGATCTTGTTGTTGGATGTCGGCAAGAAAATGCTATAAATAAATTACCTCAGACTTCAGGTAGTTTGTGTCAGACAATTGTGTGTTGTTTAGCTTAGATGGCTCTGTTCCCAATGCACATTCTCAGCACTTTCCTTTGCCCTGATCCCGTCACTAGATGGTATTCAATTACCTCCAAGATGAACGGTGTAATTTTTTTTGCTTTTCCTTGGAAGCTCGTCTGGACTGCTTGAATCAGCAGATTTGCACCAGTCTAATTTGAGTGCTATTGATTGGCCTTTATAGTTTCAAACCTTGCGAAAGGAGCTAAGCCTTTAAATTCTAAATGAAGATTGAACCAAATGATTCTGTGCCATTTCTACACTTGCAACTATATTGCAAACCACCTACAGCCTGGCTGCAAACTATTTTTTCACTCATAATGATGTTATGTCATTGAAAATCTCACATCTACAGTCGAATTGAGTGGTTTTGTCACCCCCAAATTCAACTTCTGAAATAAATAAATGAAGTTACATTTACATTACCCCTTCCCTGTTCCTCCATGTCTTGATTTTTTCTATAGATGCAGAACTGTTTCCTTTGGCAAAACGTGCTCATGTTGTGATCCCATAAAGAGCCAATAGGCGTTGGTCTGTGCTGTGATATTTTTAAGAGGTAATTGTTGGTCAAGACCCCTTGAGAAAAATTTTCAAATGTTACCTTGAGATAGTTGAAATCCACTTGAGTAGGCAGTGTTGCTTTCCCTGCGATGGTTCCAAAGTGTTAGCACAGAAGGTGACATCCTGCCGTGGAATTTAAACCTCTGAGATGGGCAAGAATGCTTCCACAAAAGCAAGCCAATGTTGTTTTTTGGCCTTTCCTTTAAGAACATAAGTAGGAGTAGGTCTGTTCCACTGTTCGAAAGCAGCACTTAGCCTGTACCCTAACTTCATCTTCCCACGGTAACTTCTTATTCCTTAAACCCCTTCGCATCCAGCAATCTGTTAATCTATCTTGAACATACAGAACACTGAGCATCTCTCAACCATTCCAGAGATTCACGATGCTTTGAGTGAAGAAATTTCTCCTTATCTCTGTTCAAAATGGCCAACCCCTGGTCCTTGATTCCCTGGGATATCGATCTTGCCAAGAACATCCTGTTTCAATGCAATCACTTTCCATTCAACTATATTCCAGGGAATAATTTCCTCTCGATCTTTCCTCGTAGAACAGTCTCTACATCAAAACTCTCCTGCATCTGGATTGAGTTTTTTTTTTAGCTGCTTACAGCTGTGTATGTCCTGACTGACCAATTTTATTCACAAATTTTAAAACTGCATGGCTCACTTTTCGGGTGCTACAGCCATTGCAGTGGTTGTTTTGCCAGCTTACCAAAGTTTTTCCGTAATAATTGTCCTGATGGTTGGGTAGGACTCATTTCTAGCAACTTACCATTTCACCCTCTAGAAACACCTACCCAGCTCCCTATTATCACACAAATTTATATAAATGCTGAGTATTTTTGGACCCTGTCGCGGTATTGCATGTATTGATTTGTAATAAAGTAGATATATACTGGAACTGTGGTCTGATGGGCTGGATAATGACAATTTGCCATTGGGTCCAGAGTTCAAATCTCTAGCCCATGTTGAACATGCAAAAAAAAAGTGTTATGTCTACTAACTGTAAAAGATGTTTTGTGAAGACAATTTGGGCACTCAACCAGTTCCAGATGAATTAAATGGGGCTAATTTATACTGATTTATTGCCATGCCATTCTAAGATTAAGGACAACGCAGTGTTGGATCCAAGCTACGCCTATTCTGAGAGAGCATGGTGCTTATACTGAGAACTTGAATTGGGGTGAGTTCCATTTCACAGGATAGTTGCAGGAAAGAAGATAGTTATTCAGCCTATGATGCAGGTGCAAGCTCTCGACAAGAGCAATTCACCTAATGCCACTCCCTCGTCTTTTACCTACTGCCCTGAATGTGCTCCCTTCTCAGATGATGATCCAATTACCTTTTAAAAGGCCCAATTGAACCTGTCACCATTGCTTTCTTTACCAGTCACCTTAACTTGGTATCCAGTCTGATGCTCCAGCATTGTGGGATGTCCCACCTTTTGGACAACACGTTAAACCCGAGTTCTCTATTTGTCACCTCTGGTAATGGTAGAAACAAATAAATCCCATAGTGCTATCTATTTCTTTTATTGGGTTGTGAGCATCATTTGCATGGCCAGTATTTGTGTCTCTCCCTTGAGAAGGTGTTTGCAAACTATATCCTTGAATCAAACTGTGGTTTGTGAGGCCATTTCATACAGCATCAGAGTCAACTAAAGGCTAGATAAAGGGAAAGCAGTGGATGTAACATATCTAGATTTTTCCGAAGGCATTTGATAAGGTACCACACCATTAGGCTACTTAACAAGATAAGAGTCCATGGTGTTAGAGGTCATATATTAGCATGGATAGAGGATTGACTAATAGATGCGAGAGAGTTGAGATAAGAGGGGCATTTTCACAATGGCTGTTACTAGTGGAGAACTACAGGCATCAATGCTAGGGCCATACTTAATACAATATATATTAATAACTTGGATGAGGAAGATAAATTTACAATCACAAAGTTATCAGATGACAAAAACATGTGGGAAGACAAGTGATGAGGCTGATAGAGTCTCCAGAGGGGCATAGACAAGTGAATGGGCAAAAACTTGGCAATATAATGTGGGAAAATGTGAAGTTATGCACTTTGGCTGGAAGAATAGAGGAGCTGAATATTATTGAAATGAGACTGTTAGCTTTTATTTCATGGGGAATACATTATAGAAGAGGTGGGGTGGTTTGTTAAAACTAGACAAGACAGTAGTCAGACCAAAGCTGAAATACTGTGACCAGTTTTGGGCTCCTTCTCTAAGGAAAGTCCAAAGAGGTTAACCAGGCTAGGTGTGTCTTCTGAGGAGAGGTTGAGTGGATTAGGCTTGTACTCATTGGAATTTAGAAGAATAGGACGCAACCTTATTGAAACATACATGACATTTAGGGGACTTGATCGAGTGACATGGAGATTCTAGGACCACAGGACACAATCACAGAGTCAGAGATTATACATTTAAGACTGAAACGAGGAGGAATTTCTTCTTTCAGAGAGTTGTGAATCTGTGAAATCCTTTACCACAGAGGACTGGTGAGGCTCGGTGATTAACCATATTCAAGGCTGAAGTAGACATGTTTTTAATCACTAAGGCAATCAAGGTTATAGGGAAAAGGCAAAAAAGTGGAATTGAGGATTATCAGATCAGTCATGATCTCATTGAGTAGCCAAGCAGCCTGGATGGACTGAATGGCCTCATTCTGCTCCGACATCAAATGGTCTTACAATGCTGTTTATCCAGAGTCACGGGCTGGAATGGTTGAAAATGGCCTACAAAAGCATAATCAAACTCAATAGATTTTTTACTACAATCCAGTGGTCATATTGCTGATGCTAGCATTTTAAAAAAAATTCCAGGTTTATTTAATTAAATTTCCACCGTTCTCACACAGGTATGATTTAAACACATGTCTCTGGATGACAAGTGTAGTGACATAACCATTACACTCTCCTAGCTTGCAAATTGAAGCTCAGGAGGTAATTCATCTAGTCCTTGACAATATTTATACCCCTAACTAATGCTTAGAAATAGACAATGTGGCCATTTATTTCAATTGTTTCAATAAATTATTTATTAATTATTTCAAATAGACTATTTCAATTTATTATTGTAGGAACCATCTCCTACAAGTTGGTCTCGCTTTTTCTACAAGACTGAATAAGGCTTGAAAAGTATTTTGCCAGCTGTGAAACGCTGTGGAACTCGCAGAGCTTGTGAACAGTACTATATAAATGAAAGCGTTTCCTGCTTGAGATCACAGTCTGCAAAATGAATGGAACCTTTACCCTGTTTGAAGTGGTAGGGTTGGAAGTAAGGTTCTTCTTGAACTCATAAACTGGTGTCCCAACTTCTCTCTCAAAAACGCACACACTCAAGTAAGCTACACTGTCTGGAGCTAATGTTCAATTTAATCCAGTTTATAATGCTAACCGCTGCAGGTATAAGTGACCTTATCCACTATTTAGAAAAAGCAGAAAACAGCAATTTCATCACTGTTCCTTGCTTTTTTTTTGTTATTTTTCAGAGCAACCACAGCAGGTGATGAAAGGGATTGAATAATTGAACTAAGTTTCAAATTACGCACAACAAAAATAGAAAGTCCTGGAGAAACTCAGCAGGTCTGATAGCATCTGATGAGACAAGTTATTGAGCTCTGTTCCAAACGTATTAACTGTTTAGATACATGTGACATGAGATACAAAACTGCGTTTTTTTTCATTCGTGGCATATAGGCATCCCTGGCAAAGCCAGCACTTATTACTTCTTACCAAATTACTCTGGAACTAAGTGGCTCTCAGGCCATTTCAGAGAATGCTTAAAAGTAAACCACATTGCTTTTGGACTCACATTTAGAACAAAGCAGGATGTTAGTGAACGAGATATGTGTTTCAACACTCGATGGTAGATTCGTGGTTACCGCTACTGAGTCAAGCTTACAAATTCCAGGTATATTAATTAGAGTTAAATTGCACCAGCTACCGTGAACATGTCCTCAGTTCATCCGAAGATACAAGAAGTGCTGGAGAAACTTAGCATGGTTTGGAAAATAAAGTCACGTTGGATGTGAAACATTAGCTCTGTTTCTTTCTCCACAGACACAACCAGACCTGCTGAATTTCTCCAGTGCTCTCCATTTTTAATTCAAACTTCCTGTATACTCAGTCATTTGTTTTTTGTCCCCAGCGCTTTAGCCTGGGTCTCTGGATTACTACTCCAGTGACATTACCATTATGCCCTCGCCTCTCCCTAAATAGAAACATAGAAGATAGGAGCAGGAGGAGGCCATTCGGCCCTTCGAGCCTGCTCCATCATTCATCACAATCATGGCTGATTGTCCAACTCATAGCCTAATCCTGCTTTCTCCCCATAACTTTTGATCCCATTCACCCCAAGTGCTATATCTAGCCACCTCTTGAATACATTCAATGTTTTAGCATCAACTACTTCCTGTGGTAATGAATTTCACAGGCTCACCGCTCTTTGGATGAAGAAATGTCTCCTCATCTTCGTCCTAAATGGTCTATCCCGAATCCTCCGATTGTGACCCCTGGTTCTGGACACACCCACCATCGGGAACATCCTCCCTGCATCTACCCTGTCCATTCCTGTTAGAATTTTATAAGTCTCTATGAGATTCCCCCTCATTCGTCTGAACTCTAGCAGAAACAATCCCAACCTAGTCAATCTCCCCTCATATGTCAGTCACCATCCCTGGAATCAACCTGGTAAACGTTCACTGCACTCTCTTGAGAGCAAGAGCATCCTTCCTCAGAAAAGGAGACCAAAACTGCACACAATATTCGAGGTGTGGTCTTACCAAGGCCCTGTACAACTGCAACAACACATCCTTGCTCCTGTACTCCACCTCTTGCCATGAAGGCCAACATACCATTTACCTTCTTCTTTACCACCTGCTGCACCTGCATGCTTACCTTCAGCAACTGGTGCACAAGCACACCCAGGTCCCGCTGCACACTCCCCTCTCCCAATTTACAGCCATTCAGGTAGTAATCTGTCGTCTTGTTTTTGCTTCCAACATGAATAACCTCACATTTATCCAAATTATACTGTATCTGCCATTGATTTGCCCACTCACCCAACCTGTGGAGATCATGCTGAAGGATAACTACATTCTCGTCACTCCCCCACCCAACTTGGTAACAGCTGCAAACTTTGAGATGTTACATTTTGTTCTCTCATCCAAATCATTAATATGTATTATTAACATATATATATTATATATATAATAAATATGTATGCTGAGGTCCCAGCACCAATCCCTGTAACACCCACTAGTTACTGCCTGCCAATTTGAAAAGGACCCATTAATTCCTACTCTTTGTTTCGTCTCTGCCAACCAGTTTTCTGTCCATCTCAATACACTTCCCCCAATCCCACGTCAAAAGCTTTCTGAAAGTCCAAATATACCACATCGATTGACTTTCCCCTTGTCAACTCTACTCGTTATATCTTCATGGAATTCCAACAGATTTGTTCAGCTTGATTTCTCCTCCATAAATCCGTGCTGACCCTGTCTTATCCCACCACTGCTTTCTAAATGCTCTGCTATAAAGTACTTGATAATGGATTTGAGAATTTTCCCCACTACTGATGTTAGGCTCACCAGTCTATAATTCCCTGTTTACTCTCTACCTCCCTTTTTGAATATTGGAGTGACATTAGCTATCCCACAATCTGCAGGGGCTGTTCCAGAGTTTACAGAATTCTCAAAGATGACCACCAATGCATCCACTATTCCTAGAGTCACTTCCTTAAGTACTCCAGGATTTAGATTAGGCCCTGGGGATTTATCCACTTTCAATCCCATCAATTTTCCCAGCACCATTTCTCTACTAAAAGTGATGTCAAGTCACTGCCAGGTGGACCATTTTGTACACATGAGGTTTTTTGCTTGAGCTCAAAATACAAGGACAGTTTGACAAGATACTTCACAAACAGTTAAGTGATAAGAGCCCACGGTGTTGGAGATAGTGTATTAGCATGGATAGAGAACAGGCTCATGGGCAGGAAACAGTGCGTGGGAATAAGACATCCTTTTTTGGGTTGGTGACCCATGACCTGTGGGGTTTCCAAAGGGATCAGGGCAGTGACTGCAACTGTCTACAATAAATAATAGGGAAGGAAGTGAATGTACTCTAGCCAAATTTGCAGAAGACACTCAAATGGATGGAAAGATTGGTTGTGAGGATACAACCAGTTTACAGAGAGATATTGATAGCTTAAGTAAAGTTGGTAAATGGAGTATAATGTAGGCAAATGCCAAGTTGTTCATTTTGACGGGAGAACAAAAGAACAGAGTATTATCTAAATAGAGAAAAACTGCAGAAAGCTACAACACTAAAGAACTTGCGGTCCTTTTGCACAAAACACAGAAAGCTATCACATAGGTGCAGCAGGTAATCAGAAAGATTAATGGAATATTGGCCCTTATTTCAAGAGAGTTGGTGTATAAGAGTCCGGAAGTCTTACTGCAGCTGAAGTTCTGTGAGCAGTTTTGGTCTTCATTTTTAAGGAAGAATATCAATTCGTTGGAGACAATTCAAAGAAAGTTCATTAGAATGATCTCCAGTATGGAGGGATTTTTTTATGGGCAAAGGCTAAACAGGATAAATGCTGAGAGGATGTTTCCCTAATGGGAGAGTCTAGGAAGAGAGGGTATAGCCTCAGAATAAAGAGATAACAATTTAAGACTGAGGTGAGGAGGAATTTCTTCTCTCAGAGGGTTGTGAGTCTTTGGAACTCCTTGCCACAAGAGCTGTAGGAGCAGAGTCCTTCTGTATATTTAAGCCTGAAGTAGATAGATTCTTGATCAGAAGGGGAGTCAACGTTATGGGAAAAGGCATGAAGATGGATGTGAGGAATTTTGGATCTTCAATGATCCTACTGAATGGCAGATCAAGCTTAAGGGACCCAACAGCTGCCTCCTATTCCTATTCCTGTTCCTTATGGGTTTATGGTCTTCAATGCTTGCTTCTGGTTTAACCTGGGATCATTCCATGATGGTACTTCCGTTTGCTTGTTTGTAAACTCTACACTGATTTTTAATTAAAATGAACTTATTCCAAATATTTTTGTGCAAATTGTGTGTTTCACAGGTTCTGAACTCTCCAAACTATATGACAAGAGAACGTCTTGCCAAGTTTTTTTTTTAAACTCACTCATAGTCAACAGTAGAAATTCTTGCCTGCGGGTATCTAAATTTATGACATTATATCTGTTGCAAGAACTTACTTGGCTTGAATTGCAAATGAATTGCATGTGTGGTAAGGATGACCACGTCCTTGGCACAAATTGGGACAGACGTAACTTATGAATAGGCACGTATTACCAGGTAGAGTTACACAGCACACCTCTGCATGAAAAAATGTTAAACCTTAGGTCACTTTTAATCATTCTCCTCTCACCTTAAAAATATGCTCTTTAGTTTTGAACTCCCCTACTGAAGGGAAAAGTCCTTTGCTGTTAACCTTATCTATCCAGTGTCAATTTATGCTGGGAGATCGCCCAGAAAGGACTTTCTTTTGAAGACCTAGTTTCTTGTAACTACTCAGGTCTGTGTGTACAACAGCCATGCTTTGAGAGAAAAGTTAAAAGCCAGAATCCATTAACCATCTCAGATGGACATTAAAGATCCTGTGGCACTATTTTGAAAAAAGGAATTCAAACAGCGCCAGTTGTCCTGGGCTAATATTTATCCCTAAACTAATCTCACCTCAAGAATGGATGGTCTTTTCACAAACTCAACACTGTCTGTGGGACTTTACTGGGTACAAATTGGTTGCCACGCTCCTTATATAATAGCAGCGATGATACTTCAAATGTATTCAGAAGATGATGATGATGTGCTTTTGTATTTCCCAAGGTTGCAAAAGATTCTACGAAAGGGTGCTGGGAATCTAATTGAGCGCAGGAAATGCTGGCAACATTCAGGTCTGGCAACATTTCTGATGAGACAAACAAGTTAACCTTTCAGATCTGTAACATTTCATCAGAACCATCATAAGTGCAAGTCCTTAACAGATAAAGAGCCGTGATTTTGACGCCGTTTGGAGTACAGCAATATTGAATATAGAATCAAAGAAAAGAAGAAGGACACATTTCCAATAAGCTACAGAAGATTTGAATTGTGCACCTAGAGGGAGTCAATGGCCTAGTGGTATTAATCCAGAGATTCAGACAACGTTACGAGGACCCAGGCTGCCACAGCAGATGGTGGAATTTGAATTCAATAAATATCTGGAATTAAGAATCTAACGATGACCACAAATCCATTGCCAATTGTCAGGAAAAACCCATCTGGTTCACTCATGTCCTTTAGGGAAGGAAACTGCCGTCCTTACCTGGTCTGGTCTACACGTGACTTCAGACCCGCTGCAACGTGGTTGACTCCTAACTGCTCTCTGGGCAATTATTGATGGGGCCATAAATGCTGCCTGGTCAGCGACGCCCTCATGAATGAATAAAAGAAAAAAAACATAAATTGTACATTGCACAATACCGCCAGCCGAACTTCCTCTTGGCAAATTGAAATTTGTTGCTATCCTTCATTGTTATGCTGAGTATGTCAGCTGTTGTCATTAATTAAGCAAATCTTTTAAAATAAAATGAAATATATTTAACTGGAATTGAGTCTTAAAATTCCACGCTCAGCTAATAAGGGTAGAATTAACCTCTACTGGAATGTGGCTATTGAGGACATCGAATAAAAATGGAAAAATATCAGTAATATATTTCTGACTGTATTCTTATACCACAGTTAAAGTACAAAGACAAAAAGAGGGCGTTAAAACTGATTCAGAGATAGTAGGAACTGCCGATGCTGGAGAATCTGAGATAACAAGGTGTAGAGCTGGATGAACACAGCAGGCCAAGGAGCATCAGAGGAGCAGGAAGGCTGATGTTTCGG